GGAATGCTCTACCACCTGAGCTACGTGGTCTCACATTGGAGACGATCGGACTAGAGAGAGAGAGAGAGAGAGAGAGAGAGAGAGAGAGAGAGAGAGAGTTTGCATCGGTCAGTTGCCTCCATCCTCAGTGCATCACCTGTCACATTTGTTTTTGCAAGCGAAGCCGCAACAGGTCATCTAGTGTTCATAAAAATTACAAGCCATTAAAAATTAATCTATTTGTTATGGTTATCTCGTTGTAAAAAAGGTAGCCAAAAAAAACGTATCCTTATTTAGACGAACAGAAGAATTTCTTGAACTTTGTTTAAATTTGTTATTATCAGTGGAGAGAAGATTGGACAATGAAGGACAGCTGATGTGAATTTCTTGCGCAAACTTGTGTTCATGTTTGTAGAGTTGTGTTTAGCTTCGTTATTATCAATGGAGAAAAGATTGGACAATGAAGGACAGCTGATGTGAATTTCTTGTGCAAACTTGTGTTCATGTTTGAATAATAGAGTTGTGTTATCATTCCAATTTAGACGGGTGTCACGAAGGACAGCTGATTCGAATTTCCTGAGCAAACATGTGTATATGATATTTGATTCGGTCATTGTTTCTCTCATAGGCAGGGTGATGGATCGCTACAGCTGGACTAGCCTGTGCCAAGCAAAGTGCCCAGCAGAACTGATTTGGTCTTGTGTATCCCTGCCAGTGCTGCCACAAGGCCCACAAGCTGTCCAAGCATACTACAGTGTCAAACACAAATTTCAAATTTGATTTTTTTTTTTTTTTTTTTTGACTCAGTGTTGCATACCTTGACGTTTGGCGGCCCTTGATTGGTCGGCTGCCGACCAGCCGACTGGTCGGCTGGTCGCCACCTACCGGCCAGGGGTCATCGGCACCCTGCCAAAAAAAAAAAAAAAAAAAAGGGTCCAGAACCCCTTATAAGTTACACCCCCCCCCCCCCCCCCATCCCCCCCCCCATTCCCGCCCCCATTCCCGCCCCCAATACCCCTTCAATAAATCCCAGTGGGACTGTACACTAACTGCGCTTACTGTTTCCTTGGTGGGCCTTGGGGGACTGATCCCGTAACCTGTAATATGTACGCTCGGTTTGTCAGCTTTGAGCCCTACTGGGCTTGATCCTTAGACCTGGAGCTAGTAGTCTCTATTTGGCAGTCTTAGACCCTTAGGCTTTGCTGTTTTGTCGTTTTCTGCATTTGCTGAAGTGAACCCGGGACTTGATCCCATGATCCGTAGTGTGTTTGTGGTAATTGACTGTTTTTGAGCTTTATTGGGCTTGAACCTTAAACCTGTCGCTAGTAGTCTCTACTTCGTAGTCTTACGCCTCTCAGTCTTGCTGTGTTTGTCCTTTTCTGCCCTTCTAGAAACTGGTAGGCCTGTAGGTCTTTCTTTTGTGTGTCCTAGCCTTGGGTCCCCTTTGTCTAGGTTTCCATCTAGATGCATGTAGGTAGATCTTGACTGTTTGGACGTAGATGTTTGGTGTTTGGACAGTCAGATAGGTCTGTAGGTGGCTGCTGTGTTGTAGGTCTTTCTGTATGCTGTGTTGTAGGTCTTTCTGTATGGAGAGGCCGACGAGTTTGGGGTTCTTTTGGTTCTTTTCATTGCTTTTGTTTTCACGGTCTTGGTGGAGGTCGCATTGCGACCCTGCTGCGCTATTGTGGGCATGTATGCAGGGCATCGTCTCCACATCCCGCTGGCGGCCATAGCTGGGGCCGGCCAGCTCCGTTGGTGACACGCTGGGCTGGGCACCGACGTTTTGATGAACACTTCCTCATATTTGTGTGCTTGTTGGGGTTTGGTCAGCTGCCACTGAAGCTGCACTTTCAGCGGTTCTTCTTCGACGTGGCAGATCTTCATCTTCATCGAATTGCTGTTTGTCGTCATCATCCTGGGATCTGCGCTCCTCGATGAGTGGACACTTCATCTGCAGTGGGCTTCTTGAGTGGTGCAGAGAGGGGTGTTGGATTTAGGAGGGTGTGTGGCGATTGGCAAGCTTGATAGGTTGGGTGTTTGCAAGCGCCATAGCTAGAGCTTGAGGATGAGGGAGGAAGAAAAGGACTCCTGGATACTTGGATGAAACCTTGTAAATAATTGGTCCGTGGTTGTTGATAACGTGGTTGGGATCCTTGGAAATTTGTGCTGTTGATTGACTTGGGGATAGACGGTAACTAGAATTGATTTTCATTTCAATTCTATTTTCGGTATTTGTGTGCTTCTGCTGCATATTCTTATCATCCGGTGTGGTGTGGATTGCTTTCTCCAAAGGTCACTTGTCATTGCACATGTATGGGAACATGTGGATGCCATGTTGGGCCTACCACCCCCATACAGCCCCAACACCCACAAACTGCCAACCAACACCCCTCATACCCCCCCCCCCATTCACAAAAGTTTTTCAATGGATTTGGGCTGTACTCAGCAAGCGCAGTACAGCCCCAAACTCAGATCTGAAAAAAAATCAGTTGATGGCTGTTTTCTAACTGGTCGGCAGACTGCCGACCGGTCGGCCCTACTGGTCAGCTGCAAAACGGTCGGCAGTCCGGGTCGGCGGTCGGCAGGTATGCAACCCTGATTTGATTCTTTTTTTTTTTTTAAGTGAAAAGAAGTTTAAAAACGTCATTGCTTTGCGCCAATCACTATCAAAGCCTTTGGGACAGTTTTAGCTTTACATAAGAATTGTTTAAAAATTAAAATATGTAGTGGATAATAGGATATAGCTGCGAAGTGAAATCGGAGTTCTTGAAGACTTGAACCCTTGACCTGTGTGGATGACTGGGTGTGTGGCTATGGCCATGGCTGCAGTGGGTTGGCTGTGATAACAGATCATGCCGACGCTGGGTACATGTGGAGTGTGAGATCAAGGCGGGGCATTCAGTGGATTCAAGTGCTTTCTATCTCTGTCCCACATGCAGAGAGGTAGGTAAGCATTGCAAACTCAGAAGGAAGAGGAGGATCAGCATATGTCTTTTTTGCTAAAGCTTCCCTCAGCCGAGGGATATGCACATGATATGCCCTTTTTGACTGAATCTGGCGATAACCATTGACAGATACGTCATGGAAAGTCTCGAGCCTGAGATGGGCTCTGTGGTTGTGTGTCAGCTGTCGTTTCTTTGTGTGTGCTCTGGGTAGCTCTATGAAGCATACCACATGTTTGTATCCTTTTCGCCATCCCATCTTCTACTACGAGAGTAGACAATCGTGTCAACCATTGCTTACGCATTGTTAACACTTCAGCGGCCATAAAACAGCAGGAACAAGAGCGCTGCAGCGTCGGCGCTACAGCTTACCTGCGTACTCTTACTCACTGCATCATCACTGGGTGGATCTGTCCTTAAGGTGGGTAACATGGTGCTCAGCTGAACCATGGTAGCCCCTGTGGATGTCTTATGATGGCCCTTTCCTTCTGTTTATAACTTCAAAGTTCATACCAAGTTTATAGACAGATCACGGTAACTGCAGGATCAATTGACACATGTCTGTTGGCCCCGAGGGCTCCCGCCTGCTGCTGTTGATAGGCCATGAGTATGGATTTGATGTTTGGCTTTGGGCACCTGAAACTCGGCCTTTTGGTGCTACTGGCCCAATGTTTTCCATGTGGGGTACTACAGGCCCACGCGTCGCTCCAAGGGCCCTACCGGATCATGAATCGGGCGCATACACAGTGCTAGATTCATTTTAATGCCCAAGAGGCTGAGGGCGGTTCCCCTGAAGGATAGAATGAGGCCCGCATACCGTATTTTGAAAAGGGCCCTACCGGTTCATGAATCTGGCACAAAAACGGCGCCAAATTCTTGAACCAGTAAAAACAGGTCCAAGGAGATGTGGCCACGGCGCGAAGGTGCCTTTCACCCAGGATGAAGACGGTTGGGCCGGTAGTACAAAATGGCCGAGTTTCGGGCGCCCAAAACCGAAAAGGTTTGGCGTGGGCGCTTTCTACCGATGATCCTGCCATATGTTCTTGGAACGTGTCTGACTGCATTGATTGCCCCCCTTGGGAAGGATTTACCGTCTTATCCTTGCTACCCCTTTCGAGATAGAATCTTTTTTTTTTTTTTTTTTTTTTTTTAACAGGTCCTTAAGGCCCTGGCTCCATTTCCATTCTGGGGAGCATCAGTCCGGTTCCTTTTCCACCGGCAAGTCAAAATAAAATATTACATCATGAAACACACTCACACTTCCTTCCGTCTGGCCGAAGGAACCCTGACCAGCATTGATTACTCCATAATGGAGGATTGACTGTCAGCTTGCCTTACTTCCCCCTTTCCTTTCAGGTCCATTGCCCAAACCTGTCGGATGACTAATAAAGAGCAAGAAAGGTAAGAGAAGCTACGGAAGTTACAGTCCCGGAATTTGCCCTTCAATATTATGTGACCTGTGATGGATCTTGTCCTTCTGCTGGCTGGAATCTCTGTCTTCTCCACCCTKCTTCTGAGTTGTGCCAGTCTTTCCATCGTATGTGAGAGACATTTATCTCTGCCACTTTGCCCCTTGCAAGCCACACCTCAGTAAATTTCGTCTTGATTCTTCTCTGTCGCTTTTCATCATCTGGCATGGACTGTCTCGTCTTGTGCCATTTACAAAGGATCTCCGCCTGAATCAAAGTCCTCGTCTCCGCCCAAACCTTCTCCCTTGGAGTTTAGAGTCCCTCAATGGTTCTACAGCACCTTTCCTTCCAGATGGACCAAAGCGTTACCTTTCTGATAATTCCAAACCACGTTTTCTCTGTCTTGTCGAATTGAGCTGGGATGTTAGTCCATAAGAGGAGTTGGATGGGGTGTTCAGGGAGGGGAGTCGAAAAGAGGGAGTCCTAGAGATCCGAGGCCCTCGCCCAATATTCGGTCGCCTCTCTACATGGTATCAGGCAATGTAGCATATCTTCTGGTTCATTTTCTGAACACACCGCGCACAAATCTGAACTGTTAGGGTCATTCTTGCTTCTTCTGATGTGTAGCCACTGGTTAACCGGTAGAGCTACGTATGAGATGAGCCATTGGAGGCTTCTGATTTTGACTGGACGAATTGACTTGAATTCTTTCCATGGTATTTGTGGTATCTCATTAGCATCCTGACCTATTAACTTCTGCCATCTGTTCTTGATTGTAGGGTCAGGATCCTTTGTTTTGAGGAGTAGGTTGTAACCCAGTTTGACTGTGCATTCTTTAATGGCAACATTAGTTTTGAGGCTTCTAGTTCTGTCTGGTGTCCAAGCCCACTCTGCTGGATCAAGTTCCAAGTCTTGAATTGCCGTATCCATTCTGAAGATTGTTTTTGGCCATGACCCCAATACTCTGACTTTTCTGAGTACAAAAGGGTTTAGGATTGTTCTTTCCACCTCTTTATTCAGGATAGATGGAGGGCCTTGCATGGAGGGGGTAATTGGGAAGGAGGTGAACACTGCCAGGGTATCCGACCCTTGCTGTTTATGGGAGAATTGATAGGCCCTTGTGGGGGATAAATCCTGCACCCTCACTCCCTATTCACCCGATTTCCAAGTTGAGCCTTCGCTCAACAACTCCTTCCAGCCTTCTGGGATGCAGTTGATAATGGATTGTAGATTCTCGTCGCGTCGGTGACATCCTTTGAGCTGGGAGGCAAGTTCCTGTTCTGTCACGCAACCATTTTTGTCCTCATTAGAATCATTGACTTCTGAGTGCTTTGTTTATCTTAAACTCCTCTCGGCTTGTAGCTGCCAGATTGGTCTGCATTAAACAAGAGTTAATTCAACTTAATTGAGCTCCTGCAGAAGTCATTAGTGTTATCCCTGTAACACCTACTCTCAGTATATAACATCGTCCTTTATAAAAAAATAAAAATAAAATCACAGAAGCTTAGGGTTCTGGCTCCTTTCCATTCTGAGGAGCATCATCAGTCCGGTCCCTATCCCACCAGCAAGTCAAAGAAATACAAAGTACTCACCCACCCTCCCCCCTTTTATGGTAGGCATAACGTAGTCCTAGTTTATATTCACTGCAATATTGAAGCCCGATGCATCTTGCATGAGATTTGACGTGTAACATATGCAATGAACCCAAGTCGTGGATACAATGTCGACACTGAAAGCCAAGATTATCGAACCAATGATAGATCTTCAACGACAATAGTATCCAGTAAGAAAGTGGGGGGTGAGATAATCATACACGGACGAAGAGAGGTGGGGGAGATTAGACAAGGGAGAGGGATAAGGCCCACTCCTTCTCCGGGCTCCTCCTACGACAGCAACCCCACATCAGTAATGATCTGAATACAAATTAGAGACTCAGCCTCCGGGTGCCACGTGGCACCGATCAATACATTAATTAGCGCTGGAGCCTCGTCGTCATGAAGACATCAGGTACGTATTCACAACACCTCACAAGTCCTGATCTCATCCCGAATAGTCACGACCCCTCCTTGAAGTAACGAAGCCGATGATCAATAGCCGGTCATAAGGATCCGACAGTACGACACGTGGCAACGCCACGTCAGCAGCAATACGTGGCGACTGCCACGTCAGCAGATCAGAGACAGTCGCCAGCCAGATAGCAAGCCAGCCAGCGGTAACTCACGATGTCAGCAAATGCCGGCCTTCCTCCAGTCTCGCAGCGTCAAACCAAGGCTGCGAGAGTCAGGCGCTGAAAACAGCGTCAACGCAAGACAGCCAGAATCACCAAAGTCAAGGAGCCAATGCTCTTATAGTGTTGACTCGGGGTCTGATCCCCGGTAGTATCCAACCTCAGCCGTCCAGATCTCCCTGCCTGGAGGGTCTGGATAGATCTGCAACTGTATCTTCTTTGGCCTGGGTCGTAGTCTGGGTACCTGCACTCAACAAGTGAATGAATCTGATCCAAGACCTGGCATGGTACTTTGACTGACAGTTGACTTTGACCTTTGATTTTCCTAAGTCTTGGCGTTCGGTCCCACAGCCGTACGCAGTTTACTCAGGCCGGGGCATGTGTTGGTTACACAGCCCGGCGCAGTCTTCCACAGACTGCGTGGCCTGGGGCTAAGGTTTGGGCCCCAGGTCGACTGCTGAACAGGGTTATTACACATACTTCTCTTTTGGGTTTAATGGACAAGCATGACTTAAAAGTTAAAACATGGGTGAAAGAAAGATCTGATTGTCCCTTACAGTGCGCCAAATGGCCTATTTACCTTTCATCCTTTACGGTAGGCATAACGTATTCCCAGTTTGTATTCACTGCGATATTGAAGCCTGATTCATCTTGCATGAGATTTGACGTGTAACATACTTCTCCTTTGGGTTTAATGGACAAGCATGACTTGAAAGTTAAAACATGGGTGAAAGAAATATCTGAATGCCCCTTACAGCGTGCCAAATGTCCTAATTACCTTTCGTAAAAACTTGATTCCAGCCTGGGCCGTGTTGCTCCCCACGAATAGATTGGAGCATTGTCTCATTAAAAAAAAAATAATAATAATAATAAAAATTCCGGAAGTGTTCAGACACAGCTCTAAGGGGGGATGGGCTTTCTTTCTCTTTTTCTTTTGTTCTGATTGCTCCTGCAAATAGCATGAATGTTCTCTTTGTTGTATGCATAGTGCAGACGACTCAGGATTTAGGGGACAGACGACGACCAAGTAGACAAGCTCACAGCGAAGCTCGTTCGGTTGAGGAGGATGCTGGCGGGGACATTCAAATGGTATATACTAATCATTCACCCCACCCGTGTTGCACCGTTCTCGTCTCCCTCTTTCAAGGAGCCTGCAGTTCTCCATTCTCTGGTTAAGAGAGAGAGACTTAGTTTTGCACATCAATTTACTATGCCCGAAATTGCCTGCTGGAATATTTGACTCTGCACAAAGTCTGCAGCTTTTTTCCCTCTCCAGTTCGTCAAGCGTTTGTCACCCTTCTTCAGATCTTGAAAACATATGGCAATTTTTGGTGGCATTGATGTTTTTCCCCCTTCCTCTGCTGCATCACAGAGTGCAACTCTATTTTTTGGAAAGATGTATTCTCTGTGATTGTAAAGCCTAATGCATCTTTCATCTTCAACATTGTGATATATGTTTACTACTATACTCCCTTTTTACTTCCCACGTCATCAATCCTTCTTCTCTCAGCCCTTGACACCATTCACTTTGTGCCACCAATGCAAGGAATATGAGTGGGAACGATATACAGAAAACCAAGTTGCGAATCACACAGATGTCCAAGTAGGCATGTACAAGCAGATAGCGCAAATGCACCGAGATTCCATTCAGATAAGAGCAATACAATGAACTCACGAGCCAATGTCCAAGCCCTCAGGCCACACCAACAACGTATCCAATGTCTCTCCTACTCTGTCTGGCACCCAGCGTCCAGCCTACACTACTCGCCTATCGTACTACACCAGCGTTCACGCAACAGGCTCACTTCGACTTTGAAGACCAAGGTACATGATGGCAACACCTTAGCTGACCCCCCTCATGCACCAGGTATGTATCTCGTCTCTCCCCTCATCACCCCTGACTTCCCACAGTGTGCATTCTCAACACCCAAAGACCACCATCGCCATCCAGACCTGCGCCCAGCAGCCCAGCTATGGCTGCCGTGCGCCCACTGCCCAGCAGTGCACCTCACACCCGGGCGCCCATTGTCGGGCGGCTCCAGCCCTACGCCGCCCTTTACTTCCCTTACAAGGGCGCGCAACGAGGTTCGCATTTGTTGGTTTCTACCTGGCAGGGGCTCACCGGCCATGGGAAAATGCCGCGACAGGTTGACGGGACGAGTAGCCGGGCTACGACGTTCAGTTCGAGCAGGGCTCAAGCGTTGAACAGCAGTATCTTTGCGGAGAGAGCCTAAGACGTAAGCTACCGACGAACGCAAAGAGGCTACCACAGCGGACAACTGCCTAGGGGTCGGACAAGGAGGCGCGACCGCGAAAGGTCGGAATGGTACTAAAGGTCGGCGGAATAGTCAAGGGAACGGAGGCGTCGGGCGTTTATCGTGAGGCTACGGACGTCTTAAGCGGCGGCGGTGTCCGAAGTTGCATCGAGTAACCGAATTCTCAAGAACACCCTGCGTGAACGAGCGGTGGGATCGGGCCTACGCGGGGGCCTCGACACTAAGAGAAGGGTGCGGGCCTAGGGCTCGGAAATGGACCTCCCGGCCTAGAGTTTTGGGCGGGCCTGCGTGACTTTCACAAGGGGGGCTGGTACCACTTATGAGTGGGGACCACCAAGGCCGAGATAGGCCCGGGGCAGGTTCGGAAATAGGTCCGGTACCGGGGCGCTGCAAAAGGCCCGGTTCCCGACAAAAAGGATTCTCCTCGACCAAGACCTTTCCGGGGCCCAAACAGGCTTGGGCATAGGCCCGGTACCAGGGCGCTGCAAAGTTCCCGACACGGATCGGCCGACGGCGGGTGAGAGCTCGCTGCTGGGAGCTGGTACAGTGGGACCAGCAAACTTTATAAGCCCAAGAGGGCTCATTCTCGGGGGATTCTGGCTGGCGCACGGAGCCGCGCACGGGCTGGCACATGGGGGTGCTGGCTCAGAAACGCACGGGGGGGGTCCCGATCTCAGGGGCGTTTGGAACGCCCCGGTCGCGGGCGTGTGGGCCAGCGAACAGGCACGTCGTGCATCCGGAGGGCACGACCACGCACGCACGAGAGAGGCAATCAGGGGACTAATCGAGACTTCCGGGGGGCGCACTGGGGCGGCGCACGGGCTGGCCGCAGAGAGCTAGCACATGAAGGCCATGCATACGAACGGGGACTTGGCCCACCGAGGAGGCGCGCGGAGGGGATGCGCGCAGGGCAGGCAACACGCACGAACCGGGACGCCTTCCCAACAAGATACCCCAGAGAGAGAGTGTACCAGGGGATCCATCCATGTTCTAGGGGACGATTCATTCCAATCGGGGGATGTGGCTCACCAGTAACTAGATGCGCGTGCAGAAAGAGAGCGAGCGGGCGCAAAAAGAAGGCGAGTGTGCTGGACTAGAGAGCACGACCTGCGTGCGGAAGGGTGAGAGTGCCTGCGTGCAAGAGAGCTAGGGACAAGCGGTGCTCAGAGGAGTAGCGCGCGCATGGAGGTGCCAATGCGCGGGGAAGAGAGAGAGCGGGCGTTGGAAGCTAGAGAACTGCGCGGGAGCAATCAAATCTCGAGCGGGAAGCCCAATCTGCAGTGCGCGCGGGAAGATTGCACTAATGGACTGGGAATCGGATCGCGCGGGGGAGTGAATAGGATCGCGCGGGGAAGTAAATGGGATCGTGCGGGGAAGGGGAAACCGCGCCGAGCAGCGGAGTTCGAGCGGGAAGAGGGAAGTTGCGCAAAGCAGTGAAGCTGCATTAAGGGGGATGACCTACGTGCGGGAATGAAGCTGCTGCCACGAAGGAGCGGGAAGCCGTGCAAAGCGGAGCTGCGCGAAGGGAGACGAGCGGCGCGCAGGAGAGAACGAGCTGCACGCGATGGAAGAAGTTGCGCGATGCAGTGGAGCTCACGCGGAAAAGGGCACCTTCGGGCGAGAGAGAACCCGGAAGGAAGGAGCTGTGTGGGGGAGAGAACAGCATGTGGGATGGAGTAGCATGGAGTAGCCCTCGCACGGAAAAGCTGCCGCGATGATAAACGACCGTGCACGGGGAGCGCTGCGGAACGTGCACCCGCGCGCGAGCGCGGGAGAGGAGAGAGGGAAGCCGTACGGAGTAGTGGGATCGCGCGGAAAGAAGAAGATGCGCGGGGAAGACTGTTGCGCGGGGAAAGGGCGCGGCGCACAGACGTGAACAGCCGCGCAAACGGGTCCTGACTGCCCGCGGATGGAAACAAGCCGTGCGCGAGGTTCGGGAAGCTGCGCGCTAGGCAAGGGAGATCAGATCTGCAAATGAGCGGGCGCGCGCGCGCGCGCGCAAGAGAGAGAGAGAGAGAGAGAGAGAGAGAGAGAGAGAGAGAGAGAGAGAGAGAGAACGGGGAGGCGATCCCTCCCAACGGGCGTCGAAGTAATGTGGTTTCTGCCAGGTGCTCTGAATGCCAAAGTGAAGAGATACAACCAAGCGCGGGTAAACGGCGGGAGTATCTATGACTCTCATCTAGCTAGTGGCGCGCATGAGTGGACTAACGAGACTCCTACTGTCCCTATCAACCATCCTGCGAAGCTGCAGCCAAGGGAACTGGCTTGGGAAAACCGGCGGGAGTAGCGCCACATCATCCAATTAGTGACGCGCTTAAAAGGGGATAATGAGATTTCCACAGCCCCCTATCTACCATTCTGCAAAATCACAGCTAACGAAACGGACTCGGAAGATTCAGCGGGAAAGAAGACCCTGTTGAACTTGATTCTAGCTCGGCTCTGTGAAACGACTTGAGAGGTGTAGAAAAAGTGAGAGCTTTTACGGCGCAAGTGAAAAATCACTAGCAAGGGAAATCCGACTGTTTAATGAAAATAGAGCATTGAGATGGCCCCAACAGATGTTGGCACAAAAATGCGATTTTTTCCCAGTGCTCTGAGTATCAAACTGAAGAGATTCAACCAACCGTGGGTAAACGGCAGGGGTAACTGTGCCACGTCACATAATTAGTGGTGCGCGTGGTTGGATTCACGAGATTCCCAAGTCGTGTCTGCTGTTCTATGCAAGCTCAGCTGGGGGAAACGAGCTAGGAAGAAAAGGCGGGACACGCGCCCACCAGCAGAAAGACGCGTCCCTGATTGGCTGAACCGGCCAACCGGGCTCGCCGGTGGGGGTGCGGACAGACGGGACTGGACCAGATCAGACCAGGTCAGATCTGGGCAAGATCAGATCCAGGCCGGATCAGACCAGACCAAATCCAGACGAGAACAGCTCAGACCAGACCGGGTGAGACCAGACTCAGACCAGACCGGAAGAGACCAGACTCAGACCAGATCGGATGAGACCAGACTCAGGCCACAGATGAGACCAAACTCATATCAGGCCACCACACCAGACTGCTTCAGACCAGAACTAGACCGGGCAAAATCGGACTAGAACCAGACCAGGAGAAATCAGACCAGAACTAGACCGGGCGAAGCCAGGCCAGAATCAGGCGACAACCCATTGATCGTAGGACCCGGTAAAGAATTCAGACACGTTCAGTCTCAACACAAACTTCACTCCTGGACTGACGTGAGGGAGGCCGCCCTGGGATAGGGTGTAGCGCGTTTGCGCTGAACTTTATTATTTGAATAAAACAAACTTCTCGTTCATTCGGCATTTACGTGCGTCATTCCAATCGCATCTTGTTTTCATACCTGACTCAGTGGTGGATTGTGCAGGTTACAGGAGCCCCGACCAACCCTCCCGTGGGTGACAGACACGGTGCGAGGTATAGGGTTTGGACAGTGTGCCGGCAGATTCCTTCTACCGGTCGACACCGAGCACGCGACCCAGCCGGCAGCTTCGTGCAGATCACGAAGTTGCAACGCAGCAGCGTGACCGCATTGCCCGCCTAGGCCAGAATTCCTTGCTCAGCGATGCTCACTTTCCTATATGGAAAGTGATCTCAGCCTCTCCTGCCTCTGGGCCTGGTTGGGCGAGCATCCAGTAGGTTCCAGGCGGGCCTCAATGCCTGCGCCCAGGCCCAGTTGCAGTTACGGGCCTGGGCCCTTTACAGTTGGGCACGTCCAGGCAGTCCGCGGGCCTCCACATGTTCGCTATGATCTCATTGGCTGACGACCGCTATGTGCCGACAATGCTGCAATCTCATT